AAAAGTTAATGCTAAAATAAATGTAAAAAAAATTATATTTACGAGCTGGAAATTCAATTTATAATTTAACAACGAATGATCATGAGGTTTGAGTATGAAAAAAGTAATTATAATTTTTTTATGTTAAGGCACTCTGCTTACTTCCTACAATTAATCACAAAAGAAGTTGCATAAATAAGGTATATAAATGCCTTTTAATTAGTTTAATAAAGGACGTACTTGTTTTTGGCTTTTTACTGGTAAAATTTATAAGAATTAGGAATTAATTTAAAATCTTAAGTACCAATAAATCGCTCGTCGAAACTTACCTGCAACAATAACTGCACTGCTTATCCGAACGATCATTTTCGGTACCACACTCTTCTAATAAAATTTTTGGACAATACCATTGTTTGCCTGCGCTTCTACTAACAACCTTTTTATCTTCATTCTTGACCACCAATCCACAACCACCACATTTATCAGTATTTTTGTTAAGAGTTTCACAAATTTTCCATGAAAATTTGTTGCACACCCAACTCATTTTCTTAATTGATAAGCTATGAGTGGTTTAATTCTTGATATTTTTTTCAGACCTAAAAAGAAAAGAAAATTAATATCTAATAATTCTTTTTATCGGCTTGTTCGGAAGCATTATTTGGTGCCCATATATAGGTCAATCGTATATTACCGTTACACTACATATGCAGTGTAATGGGGGGTATATAGTAAAGGGACGCACTTATTTGCACGAGTAATACAAACCTCTAAAAAGGAAATGCCAATCGGAGTGCACAAAATTTGACTGTTCCGGATCAGCCCGACATGAATATCGAACACGTGTAAAGAAGAAAAAAGAGAAAATACTCAAAAACTAGTGTTTAAATCGACCTTGGTGCACTAATTAAAAATGTCGGGAACGAAATTTTACACATAGTAGTTAATGTTAACGCCCTAACGCTAAACTTCTATTTTTACGCACTTTATTTACAAAATTCGAATTCCTTTTTTGGTTTGTGTTACTCGCGCAAATAAGTAAACTCTATAGTAAAGTGGTACAGTACAGACATGCAGAAATAGTACATACGTAAGCACGGTCTATTAAAGAAAAAATTCGTCAAACCCAAATTATTCTTACTACTAACCTAATATTAAAAGGACAATATTAGTGCTCCCCTAACCTAAGGCGAGACCGACTTGATTCTGTGTTTTACATTACCCCCGAAGGGGGGGGGGGGGGGGGGGGGGGGGGGGGGGTTAAAAAAAAAAATTTTTTGAAAAATTGTCTTTAAAAAAGAAATCTTCCCAAGTTGTTGGG